TTATCTACCTATTCTGCAGTCTGTGAAAATGTGCATCACAATTTGCTATATAGCTAATTTCCGATTAGTAAACTTCAATATTTCCCAGATACTCCCAAACCAGAGAATTTATAGGACAAAGAGTAACTCCAAAATACTGGAACCCAATATTGCTTCAGTCTGATTTTTTAAAATAAAAATATTTCATTAGCCTTTTAAGGATCTGTCCATCTGACTACATTTTTAATTAAATGCACTGCCGTAAGTGTCTTATCTTTTGGAAGTCTAGATAGATAAACTACACGCATCTTTGTTTCCTTTGCATATTCTCTAACATCTATGGAATATTTTGAAGAACACAATCTATGACTTGCTTTAAAGAAATCTACGGTCTTCCTGAAAGAAGTAACATTTTCTCAATGGTTCCCAATTTCATCCTATATAGGTTTTACAATCAGTTCTTGTGGTGCAGTGGTAGTGTCCCTACCTCTGGGCCAGAAAGCCTTGGTTCAAGTCCCACCTGCTCCCTATTTATGTTATACCATTTCTAAACATACTGATTAAAACATCTAGACTCTGGACTACTTTAACATATATAAAAGAAAACTTTCCTTTCCACAGAATTTTGATTTTTGTCAGTTACCTATTTCTTCCTTCAAAGTCTTTGAAAACAAAGTACAGGTATCATCCATGGAATACAACACATTCTGCAGCCTTTAGTTAATTTGTCAGGACAGATTGACAGAAACCATAACTCCATTTTCCAAAGTGCACTTATCAGCACTTTCAAACATGGCCCAAGCTTCAAAGTATTAATAGCTTCATTGATTTCTGCAGAAAGATCTTTACCCCTTTCCTACAGCCTTTCACTTTCAAACAAAGTTAGAATAAGCTTCTATTTTAAAGTACCCATTTTAAAAAAAGACTTAAAATTAAATCACCTCCCTTTCAATAATTAAGCAACTATAACTGCCTCACAAATATCCCTTCTCATAAGCCAGACAGTGGTATTGCATTGTGAAGGTCCTAATAAAACACAAAATAAGATATCCAGCTATATACGTAGACTACCATACAAAATCTCACACAACGTACAGCACCAAATGCAATGGATTATTATTATTTCTCATTTTAAAAAGTCTGGTGCTGTCACTGTGACCCCCTTGTCATTGAATGACATCATCATCACTGAATCCCCCACTATCAATATCCTGGGGGTTACCACTGACCAGAAACAGAGCTGGACAATGCTTTGAAATGCTGCAGCTGTAAGAGTAAGTCAGAGGCTAGGAATTCAGCAGCAAGTAACTCACCTCCTGACTCCCCAAAGCAGAGTGGAATCTCACAACCCACTTGCCTGGATGAATGCAACTCCAACAACACAAGAAACTTCACATCATCCAGGGCAAAGCAGCCTGCTCGACTGGTACCACATCCACAAATTCATTCCTACTACCAACGATTCTCAGTTGCAACAATATCAACCTTAACATTTGCTAATTGATATGGAGACATGAGAAAAGAACTTGAAAGTGAGACAAGATATAGTTTGGAATTTTTTTAACAGATGTTAAAAAACAGAAAATATAACTGGGATGGGCAATTGAAAATAAGCTTGCAGGGCTGCAGGAACCAATTAGAGAGAATAAGATTGGCTGGATTGCTCACCTGGGAGCTAGCATGGATTTAGCAGGCCAAATAGCTACTTTCTATGCTATAAATGACTCTCTGACAGTCAGAAAGCAGGGTGCAAGTACACTACCAAGTTAAAGGTTCTCTCTTCAGTGACATTCAGTAGGTTTTCTACTTTCAGCAATTGTCAGAAAGTATTCTGCACTCCAGATTTGAAGAAAGGGTTCACATTGCGCCACTGAAGTTAATAGACCTCAGGTTGCACCACTTTATTCTTCTGAATAATTTTAATATGCCATTGTACTAACACAGGTCAAAAGTAATGCACAATTTTCTGTAAAGAATAACTAGAAGAATTTACCCTTTTTCTGATGTTACCTAACATGAGTATTTCTAGCACTTAGTTTCAGACTTCCAGAAGCTTCAATATTTTATTTCACAGCAAGATGGCTTGTACTTTAAATCTTGCAAACAAAGAGTGGAGTAAAATATCAGATGTGCATTGAAAATTTTTAACAACTGATTTCAAATAAACAGAGGTGTTATTCAGTTTCTTTCTAAAAAGAGGATATTGGACAGCTTCCTCAAATGCCAGATCTGTTGAACAAAGTTAATCTTGGGAAGAATAGGATCAAGGTTATTGCAATACCCATTTACGTATCAGCAGGCCTTTCACTCCAATGTCAACTTCACAAATGACAAACACCCTTGGTAACTTAGTAAAGGGCAAGCAGCAACCCAATAATGTATAAACCAGATAGTGAGCAATGTCTCCAAGGGAAAAGGAAATATATTTCATGAACAAAAAGCAAAATATTGCAGATTCTAGAAACAGTGCTGAAAAACTCAACACGTACAACAAATATCGCAAAGATGACAGAATTAACATGTCAAGTGAATGCCCTGTGTAGAATACCAATTATATTTCAATTCTTGCTTATGCGTAAGGCAGCAAATAGAAAGAGATGGGAAACTGGGAAATTTTGTAAGGAATTTTTGTGATGTTCAGTAGACATGGTAGTAATTTATTTACTTTGACAAGAAAATCTTGAGAATTGTTAAACTAAAGTTTGACTGATATCGTACTCAAAAAATCTTTCACCATGTTCTGGCAACTTTTGGAATGAATGTCATGCATAATATTCTAGGCAAATTGTGTTACCATACTCGTCCATTTAAAATTGTTCAAAACACACATTCCTTGCTTTAAAAAAAATTACTTCTATTTATGTCTACATATTCCCAAATTTGATATGTTACTTGTTAAAATGTAGCTGCAGTTTTTGATAACTAGGTAGCTCTGAAATGTGTGCTTGAAATCTCTCCCACAACTCCACTGACTGTGTAAATGTAAAAACACTCATGAATTGATCAGCACATTTAACTTACACCAGTATTCATGACAAAGACTATAGTCTTAGCTTCTAGGAGTCAAGTAGCGATTATTTCCTTGTAATCCACCCTTCCTCCAAAAAATAAAAACTCAGACATGAGCAACAATTGCATGTCAGGATAACTGTCAATTTTAAAACTGCATTGCTTTCACAGATGGAAAGTGCGGACTTAAATCTGTAGCAGAAATGTGCTACTTTGGATCTTTTCCCGTTCCATTAATTAAAATCACCGAACCAGCTCTGTCACACAGTATAAACTTGTGAAATGGACTGAGTACATTCATCCAAGTTTCCCTCTGTAGAAGAGGACATTCATTCTTTAATGTTGACAAGTAAAAGCCTCCTTCCTCATAACCCTATGCAAGCAATTTGTGATGATTCACTTTGTTATCAAAAATCAAATGTAGCTCATAATTACGATGTTATCAAACAGTTCCTCCTTTTCTGGATTCTTAAAATTTAGTATGCAAATTAGATCAACTTGATACTTCAATGATGTACATTTGTTAAACATTCTCTTTAAGAATAGATAGTAACTGGAGCAACATATTATTTAGTGTTTTCTTTATCAATGAGGTGATTGTGGGGTGCAGTGAGCACCACCCTCATCTCTAAGCCAGTTGTTGAGTTTGAGTCCCATCCTAGGATTTGATGGGCAAGGAAAGCAATTCATAGCTCAACCAAACAGGTTGGTTATCAGGTTGTAGACGTACTCGCTGAGTTGGTGGATTCGGTTGCAGACGTTTCATCACCCCGCTAGGTAACATCGTCAGTGCACCTCCGGTGAAGCGTCAGTGTTCTGCCCCACTTGTTGCTTATATGCCTCAGTTTGTTGGGGTGTTTGGTATCAGTTCCGGTTCTGTTTCTCAGTGGTTTGTACACCAGGTCCAATTTAATGTGTTTGTTGATGGAGTTCCGGTTGGAATACCAGGCCTCCATGAATTTTCTGGCATGTCTCTGTTTGGCTTGTGCAATTATGACTGTTGTCTCAGTTGAACTTGTATCCCTCGTTGTTCGTATGTAGACCAAACGGAACTCCAAACACATTGAATTAAACGCAGTGTACAAACCACTGAGAAACAGAACTGGAAGTAGTACCAAACACCCCAACAAACTGAGGCATATAAATAACAAGCGGGACAAAACACTGACATTTCACCAGAGGCACACTGACGATGTTACCTAGCAGGGTGATGAAACATTTGCAACTGCACCCACTGGCTTGGCGAGTATCTCTACAACCTGACCTACAAATTTCTTCAAAAACTTTAAAGGTTGGTTCTCAACCTGCAAATTCCTCCAACACGTGCCAATGAAAGGTAGTAAATTTTTGTTCAGCCATGTGATAGAAAGTTTAAGCCTGTACCATCACTCTAGACTACAAGATGTATGTAAACAGCATACTGCCGCACAACTCAAGACTGCTCCTGTAATCTGTAACACAGCACCACTGCTTAAAGCTAGTATCCAAGTTCTAACTTACTCTGGTCAAGCAAATTAATAAAGACAATAAAGAGGTCCATTCCATTCTTCAATGCTTTAAACATAAACCTGTGTCCTGACCCAACCACTCATTTAAAGCATGGTAATATCTTGATGACATTTAACTCTTCTCTAGGAAAGATAGTATCTGGACCCTGATTTTGCTTTACCTACTATCACCATTTATTCCAGGAGTTGTACCAAAGTCTGGGTGCATTGCAGTGCCTGAGTCCTACTTTAGTGGTGCATTCATTCCACAGGAGGGCTGCTGGTAAATTTTCCGTTACTGTTTCAATTTCAACTTTGTTACATAGTGCAATATCTAGGTTCCGTTTTATACAGAACTATCAAGAAAACATAAAATTGACATCTAATCAAACATGTATTGTATTTAAAGAGTTGCGTTCATTTAAAAAAGTTGGAATAAATAATACAGTTCCACAACAAATTACGTAGAATCAATAGGTCTAGTCGTATCCCAATGCTGGTCAAGTTCAGGTTTATCTCCAATTCTCACTGAGTCGGCCAATCGTGATCTCCTTCGTAGCAGAGTCGAAGATTGTTTTCCACCTCAGTTGTTGCAATGGAAGGGGATTTAGAAGGAGGGAGACATGAACTAGCGAAACCAAATGAATGTGCACTTGGGGTTATTATGTGTTTTCACGAAGTTTTCGTTTAGTCATTAAATTTCCGATTAAAAGGAAACCAGCAAGTACACGGAATTAACAACCAGGCGGAGAAATGGTGTCACTTAGCAACTGGAAGGCCCGTCTCCTACACCCCCCCCCCCCTTCCCTCCCTTTCCCAGTGTAAGTGGAGTACTCACAATCAAGGTGCTTCTTCTTGGGGCCCATCACTTCATGTGTGGTGGCTTTACAGGCTGCCTTGGTAACAGCTGAGCCGGTGACACTGTGCTGGGCTGCGGTGATCCGGTCCGTGATCGACTGACCCGACATGATGACCCTTCTCAGGTAAAGAGGCGACCAGGAAAATAAATACAAAACCGTTCACAACTTCCCGTTCACACTCGGGCTTTATATAAAATTGGCAAAAGAAAAACAATTTAAAGGCAAGGTGGGGCGGAGGGAGGTTAACCCAAAAAAATTCACGTTTTTTTCGGTCCAAATAGAAACCCCGAGTGTTCCCTTCCTCACCAAAACGAAGCGACTTTTTTTTTTAAAATTTTCCCCCCCCTCCCCAATCCCTCGATTAACCAATCGAGCAGGTATGGTTTTCACACATGTCTGATTTCGGGGGAGTATCTGACGGAACACTCCCGATGATATTTTCTGAGGGGGTTAAGATTCTTCCTCTTCCTCCTCCCCGTCCCCGTCCCCGTGCCCGCCCGGTTTTTCTTTCCTTCCGCTTTCTCGGGCGGGCACTGAGCGTCAAAATGGCGGCGGAGGGAGCAGCTTTTTGTCAGGTGATGGAAACCACAGGCAGCGGATTAAGGTGGATCTGCAGCGAAAGCTCAAAATAACTTCCCTGTCTGTCTCTCAGGTTAGGCCGTGCAATCTTACAGCATTTCACGCCTCCCTCCCACCGCCTCGAAAACTGTTTTCTTGTTTCTTTTTTTTTAAAAAACTGTGCCGTAATGGTTTTATTTTTTTTGAATGGCGAGCTTAAGGTGAAAATTGCGATTTTGGTTCTTGTCCTATACAATTTTTTAAAAATCTTAAAATAAAGTCACCAACAATTACATACAGAACTGTTTAAGCAAACGTGTCTATAGCCGTGCAACACGGCGACACAACCTCCTGCTTCACTGAGTTGATACTTTCCAGTGACGGTGATGAAGTTTGAATGGGAGAGGGAGGGGATGGTGTCACTGAATTGTGGAAACGTATTGACTCTGAAATGAAATGTGACTACACTGCTTTGAAGTGATCATATCCGTGTTTGCCTAAGTACATAATATGGACTGAGTACAAAGCAACTTCACCAATCAAACTTGCACCATGAATCCATAGTTTGCTTCAATAAAAGCAAAATATTTTACAGGTGCTTGAAATCTAAAATAAAAACAAAGTATTGGAGAAATTCGGCATATCTGCCAGCATCAGTAGAGAGAGAGATTTGACTTTGATGCAACAGCTGTAGAACCCAGATGCTGCTAGTTTCTCCAGCAATTTGTTTTTAATCCATAATTTACTACCCCAATTTCCTCCAAAAGGTTTTTAATAATCTTTAATACTCTTACATGGCTCTGATCGTAGCACTCTTGTGAGTCAGAAGATGGTGGGGTTAAGGCCCATGAGGACTTGAGCATAAAAGTAAAAAGCTAGCACTTCAGTCCAGTATTGTGTGAGCACTGCAAAGTTGGGGGTACCCTCCCAGGTGAATGTACAATATTTCATGGCAATATTTTGAAGATGAGCCAAGAGATCAATCCCTGATACAAAAACACAATGTGCTGAAAATACTTAGGCATGTCTAACAGCACGTGTAGAGGGAGAAACAAAATTAACATTTTAAATTGAACATGACACCCAATCAACATCCCAAAGTAGGTTATCTGCTCATTTTATTAGTGTTTTGGCAATCCTGCTCTGCAGAAATTGAATACACATTTCCTAAATTATGATGGTGAATGCAATTCAAAATGCTTCATTGGTTCTAAACTGCATTGGGACATCCCATGGTTGTGAAATACATTATATAAATCAAGTCTTTTTTTTGCAGACAATTTAAAAAAAAAACATTTTTGCAAATTTGGATAGACTACATCTATCAGGATACTCTAGTTCTAACTTACTTTGTTCAGAATTTATTAGAAATTACAGTTAGACTTTTAAAAGTGCACATGGAATCATAGATATGATTATAGCACAGAAGAAGGCCATTTGGCCTTAATGGCTATACTAGGCCTCAGAAGAAACAATTCTCCTAGTGCCGCTCCCATATCTTTTACCCATAGCCCTGCAAATGTTTACAATATTTTTCCATATTAATGAACTTCACCTTTGAAAAATTAATGCTGTTTATTATGATTTCTATGATGTGGAGAGCAATATGTGGGTATATTTCCAAACACACTTTAAATGACTTTGATAGCAACAACAGATTTATAATAGCTGGTCAACAATGTCAGGTGACAATATTTAGCCAGTAAAGTACCAAAAATCAAATATCTATGTCATCGTGTAATATACATACCAGCAGGTACTAAAAATGGATGGCAGTCATGGAATTGTGGACACATTCCACCTTAATAGAAGTGGGTGTCTCTTTAATTTTCAGGCCTCACATTCCTGAGAAAAGTTTCATAATCAGGCACAAACCAGGACATGCTGTTTTACCACAGACAGGATGGTGATAACTATTATCTGGTATAACACACGATGTTCTCATCCATCATACTCCATGATTCACACTGCATTACACTTCTGTACAGCCGAGACATTCTACTAAAAGTTGGAAGTGTATTATGAATAAAAACCACATCAAACTGTTTACAGATTTCCATTTAGCTACCCTTCAAATTAAATTTATTGTTCAAAGAATTAAAAGTAAAATTGTAAACAAATGTGGACAGATTTTCTTTGATATTTGTATTGAAATCATAAATATTTTCAAAAGAAAATTCTGATCACTGTAAATTTTCCTACATTTATTTATGATGTTGCAACGTCTGCAAACTTTTTTTCTCTTTTCTGTATCAATATATGTCAGGAGCCCTCAACCAAGAGCAATGTGTCATCACATTCTTGTTCTGTTGAAATACTGTTGTAAAACATGCATTTGTAAAATTTGGATGATAGAACGTTTCGTTAGATTTTCCTGTGATCTCTTCCTGAAACTAGTGGGACTAATACTAGAAGCTCAACTAATGTCCAGATTGTCCCACATCATGAAGAAAGGAAGAAAAAGATCATTTATATATCACAGTACATTATGGACTACCTAACAGCCAATAAAATACTTCCGGAAGTGTAGCCACTGTTACAGCAGGTCTGCACTTACTAAGATTTCACAAGCGTAAAACAGATAATTACCAGATAATTTGCTTTGGTGATGATGGTTGTGAGATAAGTATTACACTTTTGGAAGTACTAACTGCCTAGTTGTTCAAAAGGCGGAATTTTATGTTTTTGGGAACAAGTTCTTCTAAGTTCTCTGTCCTAGAGTATGGTATAAGAGAAGGTAAGACCTAAAAAAATGAAAGAAAGAGGGAAAACTGCTTTGAACTTCCAAGTAGTGCCATGGGATCTTTTGTGTCCCACAGCAGATGGGCTCTGACTTTAGCATCGCATCTAAAAACCAAAACTTTCAATAACAAAACACTCTGTCAGTATTTCACTTAGTTGTTAGCCTGGATTATGTACTCATTTAAGTGGGACTTGAACCCACTATCTTCACATTCAGACAAGAGTGCTATCATTGAGTCATGGCTGATATCTTTTCTCCCAGATGTGTGCAACCCAAAAAGCTTTCAATGTAACTTACAACTGATGCCTCATTTTTTAACACTTGTGGTGTTTCTTTCATTCCAAAAGCAATTCAGTGTGAAAAGTGTTTAAACTGTTTCAACATGAGAAAAGACATTATATAAATGCAAGTCTTCCTCTTCCTTTCAGGTGCGAGGAGGGCTTGGCTCTCCTGTGGACAGAAAAACAGAGTTACTGTTTTGAGTCTAATATCATTCTTGTTTGAAACCGAGCAGAACTGCATGATTGAAAGAGAATGGTGTGGATTCTTGTCCCCCAAGCATCAAAACCAGCATTGCAAAATAAAATCACATGGTCTATAAATGGTTGGCAAGTTGAAAATCTACCTTGTTACTCTAATACACTAGGGCTGAAAATTGAAATTCACCAATTGTTAACTGAGTGAGAATGGAAGATATAGCCATTAAGTTCTCTCTAGCCAGTGACTTTTGCAAGAATAATTTAATTTGTTAATACTTTTAGCAGGTTTGTAAACAAAGGAATACATACTGACGTCATTCCTCCTGCTGGTCAATCAGTTTGCTACAATTTATTTTGATATTTATTTCTAGCACTTCTCATAAACAGATCATTAGAGAATTTTGCAGTGCATCATCCCAGCACCATTAATGTACCTAGTCAAATAAGAACATCTTTGATTGCACATTTTCCTGAATTCATGCTAATTCCAAAACAACATTTCCGTAATAGTTTTTAAACAGTACCTGAAAGAAGAGTTTTCTTTGTGTTCTATTGCTGGTTGAATTGGTTATTTTCTGATAATGTGAAATTGAACTGATTTGCACTTAGAGTAACAACAGTTTAAGTGAATGGATTGAGAAGCAGTAAACAAGGGAACTGAGTAGACTGGACAGTGTGAAACGAGGCTGAAGTGGCTTTGAGATGATTCAAAATCTTACCAACAAGACAGTAGAAGATCTAGTTATATATATTGAGTTAACGTAATATATTTAAATTAAGTTGAACTTCAATCATTGTGTCAATTCTATGTATTATTGTAAAGAAAAAATACGTGGACTTATCCAGCTCAGTCCCCAAACAAGAAATGATAGTTTTAAATGGCATTTGAGGAAGGTGCGATTAGTTAAAAACATATACTGAGTCGTAGAGGTTTACAGCATGGAAACGGGCTCTTTGGCCTGACTTGTCCATACTGCCCAGGTATCACAATTAGTCTAGTCCCATTTGCCTGTGTTTGATCCCTCCATACCTAGCCCATTGATGTACCTGTCCAAATGTTTCTTAAATGACAAAATTGTACGCGTCTCCACCACTACCTCTGGCAGCCCATTCCAGATGCTCACCACCCTCTGTGTGAATAAACTGTCCCTCTGGACCCTTTTGTATCTCTCCCTGTCACCTTAAACCTATGCCCTCTCATTTTAGACTCCCTTACCATGGGTAAAAGCTGTTGGCTATCTACCTTATCTATGCCTCTCATGATTTTATAGACCTCTATATGATTTTGTTAGTGGGTGGAGGAAAGGAAACAGCCACATGTTATTTCAGAGAATTCGCTAGATATGCCATTGTCTGGTCTGCCTGAGATTATCAACTATCTGCAGTAGAATAGCAAGATAATGTTATCCCAAGCTATATTCTTATATGTGCAAGTTCAATTAGTGAATATATTTATGAAACTAAAGGTATTAAACTACAATTGTTGCATTATGTTTAGGTAGTTGACTGGGTCTAGATTTCCCATTGCACCAATTAGAAGTTCCCCTTGATTAATAAGGCCAACTCTTGCTATGAATCCCTTCAATTATACTGTATTTTTGATGGTCTAATAATGTAAAGACGGTGTAATAATTCATTATTTAGACATTTTGTAAAACTCCATAAAGGTAAGCTCATGATGTTGCCTAGGCAGGATTTCTTATTTAAGTCACACTGGCTTCTTAGTGTTACTTGAGCAGATGTGGATTAATAACGGCTATGGAAGCTATTCCACTGTCTATCTGATGTGCGTCTGCCTCAGATATAGTGTTAACTCTGTGTAAAATCTGCAATCAGCAGAATGCTGTTATTACAGACTGGCACACCACTGACAGCAGCATTTGGATGTTTGCATTTTACCGCACGTCTGCTCCATGTTTGAAGTTGCTGTCTAATTTTTTTGCGTAATGGAATGAACACCATTAGCATCGCTTATTTTTGCATTAAAATCTGGCCTGAGCATAAAAGTGAGATATGAAGAATGGAACAAGGCGTGATACACAAAGTCGAAAAAGAAAGCAGGGGAGCAGGACAATATATCATGTCGGAATTTGGTGGATCAGAATCATGCTGCATCAGGTAATGAAAGGTACACCTGTCCAGGGATACTTCAGAATGGGGCAAGGTGACAGGAACAAACGACAACACAAGTGGTAATGGTTGTGGAGAAGTAAGAGAGATCCAGGGTAAGTATGATTAATAGGTATTTGTAGAATATTGGTCAGTCTTGCTAAAAGGAAAACCTTAAAGAGGGTGGGGGTTACAAATGGAAGATGGAGTTCATGACTAATTTGACTCAATTTTGAGTCCAGAAGGCTGTAGAGTGCCTAAGTTGAAAGTTAGGTGCTGTTAATTGCTTTGTATTGTGGCAGATCTAGGACAGAAATGTGAGCATGAGAACAAGTATTAAAATGACCCTGTCCTTCCATTGCATGCCATGCTTGCAGACTAAAGATGTTCTGCAAAGCAGTCACCCAGTCTGCATTTGGTCTCACTGATCTGGAGGAGACCACTTTGTAAGTCGCAATTACAGTAGACTAGACTAAAACAAGTACACGTAAATCGTTGCTTTACCTGAAAGGAGTATTTAGGATCCTTGGTCAATAAGGAGGGTAGAGATAAAGAAACAAGTGTTATACTTTACTGCTGTTGGGGAGGGATAAGGATAATAGAGGAGTGGATCAGACTGTCTTGGAAGAAATGGTTACTTTGAAATCCTGGCAAGGGAAGAGAGGGGATGATGTGTCTAGTGTGGCATGTTGGAGGTGGTGGAAATGGCGAGGATGATCATTTGAATATAATGGATGTTGAGGAGGGAATGGGACATCGATGTTCTGGGAGGGAGGGAAAGAGTGAAGGCAGAACTGTGCGAGATGGGTCAGACATAGTTAAAGGCCCTGTCCGCCACAGTGGGTGGAAACTCTTTAGTTGAATAAAACAAGACGTCAGAAGCACCCTTGTAAAAAGTAACATCATTAGAACAGATGTGACAGACTGAGAAAACTGTGAATTGAATGGGTTTGGAGAAGTATAATCAAGGAAGCTGTGAAATTCACTGGGTTTGTAATGAATATTAGTAAACGGCCTATCCCTGGAAAAGGAGAGACGAAGCCGGCAAAGAGAATGGAAAAGTCAGAGATAGATCAGGTGAAGATGAGAGAAAGTTGGAAATTGGAAACAAAATTAGTGGATTTTTCCAGTTCCAGGCAAGAGCAGAATGTGGTACCAATACAGTCATGATGTACGAGATAAAGAGTTGTGGGAAAGGGCCCTAGTGGGGCTGAAATAAGGAACATTCCACTGAAACACCGGTATATCTCCAGTCATAGCACGTACCTATAGATACACGTTTTATTTGGAGGAAGTGAGACAAGTTAAAGGAAAAATTGCTTAATGAGAGAACAGGCTCAGCCAGACAGTGGAGGTGGATGGAGACTGGGCCTACAGTCAAGGAAATGGACAGCCTTCAGACTAACTTGGTAAGAAATGGAGGTGTCAAGGGATTAGACAACCATGGTGAATTGGAGACAATTAGGTCCAGAAAACTGGGAATTGTTGAATTGTCGTAGGATGTAAGGAGAATAGTAACTTGAAGAGACAGGACAAAGGGTGAAAAAACAGAATTAACATAAGAAGAAATCAATTCAGAGGGCAAGAACAGGCTGAAATAATGAGTCTTCAAGGCAGCCCTGTTTATGGATATTAAGAGCAAGGTAGAAGCAGGTTGTACGGAATTGGTGAAGTGGTGAGTGGGAAGTACTTCAGAGGACAGTGACAGACCTAGAAACAATGTTATGATATTCAGTGACAGGATTGTGATCCAGGAGGGGGTAAGAAGAAGTGTGTGAGTGTTGGTGGTCAGCCTCTGTAAGATAGAGATTGGTACACCTGAAAGACAGCAGCACACCTTTGTTAACAGGTTAGCTATCAAAGTCAGGGTCAGAACTGAGAAAAGGGAGTAAAGCAAGGTTGCAGAGTGCTGTTTTCATGTGAGATGGCTATGACTAATGTCTTCAGTGTACTTAACCCTGAATAGGTCCAGATACACACTGTAGTACCTAAGTTTCTACAAGAGCAATCTGGCTTGTCAACAACATATTGGATGTTGATTGAGGGGCTTCCAGAGAGAAAATATGAAAACATCTTGAAAGAAAGCAACACATGCCAAATTTTGCTACACCAGAGCAAATTAGGTGGTGTTGAGACTTAAGATTTTCACTCATCTGAATGAAGGTAGGACAAAGAAAATGACTGGATCCTTGAACTGAATTTTCACTTTGGGAAGGAGAATAGGAACTTGCACCAAGATGTCCTGAACCTGTCCTCTGAAAGGAAACAGTTCTTCTTTGAGATATCTACTGGGACACCTCCTTAATTGAGCCCTTACAGATTGAGAGGAATAGTTGGCTGCAGTAAATTGTATATAATACAGTAAGGTGTCCTCTCAGCCAGGTTCTAAAGAACACTTATAAAAATAGAAAAGTAACCAGGCCACTACTATGGGATGGGGCAGAATTCTTTTACAGCATGGCTTTTGACAACACCCATACCCAAAAGGCTAGTGTTATGAAGGAAAGGTTGACCCCCCTCTGATAATTAAAAACTGAAACACCCAGAGAAGCTTGCCTTGCCTCGTAATCTGTTAAAGAAAGTGTGTAAAGTGGTATAAACTACCTCTCATGCATCCTCCCCCCTCCAATCTGTTATAAAGGGATGGTTAAATGAAAGAAATTCCTGATACTCACATTATAATCAACTAGTAACAATTTTTTTTATCTAACCCTAACAGTAAACAAATTAACATAACTACTAACAAACCAAACAATTCCCCTTAACAACTAATTATTCCCAAATAAACAAAATGCTAATGTGTGCTGTTCCAATAAATACAAATCCTGCTTTTGTAAAGCAAAGTAATAAGAAAAATAAATTAAGACTTAGTCTCTCAAAATTACAGCCAGGGTAGGTCTTCCAGAATGCTTCACACCCTCTCCACTGATCCTCAGTCAGGAACACTGTTCTCCATCGAAATCTTGTGTCAGGAATATTTGTGAAGAGTGCCGCTGTTCTTTTAGTTTACTTGATG